TACGTTTCCATTATCTATCCGAAAACTTACTTGATTTTATACGAGTAGCACACATGTGAGTTCTTGGAACGCGTATAAACTTATGAATATATTCATAGCCGTTTTCTCGAAGGCACACAAAAAACTTATTTTAAAACGTTGAAATAAGTTTCTAAAAGTAAGTAAAATCCTCGCTAATAACTACAATAAATTTGGATTTGATAACAGCACTCGACAAATTAAGGTAATATTTATAGAGAGAATAGAGAGAGAATGTATAGTATGGTAACCATCACAACTCGATGAGCTATTACCACAATATTTTAGACATATTTTTGAACATTTTATCACCTCACAGTATAGCTAACATCAACGAAAAAAATTAAAGAACGAATAGTTTAACGTGAACTTCACTTTTCATTCCTTACTGACCGTTAGTTATTTGCAAACACCAAATGTTATATAATCTAAATTCCTTGAAATTATTATGAAGTGTGAACATAAGTCCAACATGGATTCCAGCTAGTAGACTTAATATACTAAACAGGCGTCTTTGAAAACACTGACCCTTCAGGGAACAATTCTAAAATGAGGATTACCCGTTCAACTAAACTCCTATGATAAAACCACATTTTTAAGCTTATGTGGACATATTATTCAATCAAATTCTGAGATAAGTCCGGTGCCAAATAACAAAATAAATACAAATAGAAAAAGTTTTTTTATACATACGATGAATGTTCTTCCGGTGCATAAAATCAAACGTTCCACCTCAACTGCAACTTTTCACAGTAAATTTGATTGAAAAACCCAATACTGAATGTGTTAGAGAGGTGAACATAGAATGGTGAGTGATAGTTGATGAAGTTAAATTTTTTTTACATATTTTGAAAATTAAAACAAAACATTGTAAATTAATACAAAATTACAAGCTCTGATAAATGATAATACAAATTATAACCGTGCTAAAAGTTCTGTAATGAAACTATCCAACACAAAATAAAAACCCACTAAATATCAAGTAAAAGTGTAAAACACTAATGTAAAATAAAATTTTTATTTCCATTCTTTAAATCATAAAACAAAATGGTGAGTAATTTACAGTTTACTGGTATTTTAAAGAAATGTTTAAATTCTACTGAAATAATTCTCAGTTCAAAACCAACTATCTGACTATTAAATTATTACGACATTTCTAATGAATATAATTTCTATGAAGTATAACATTTCATTATGAACTTTTAATCCAACAATTTGGATCTTTTAAAATTGTATAAATTACATAAATCTAAAACCATCATACAAAAAACTTAAAAGAATAAATAAATTCATATTACTTTAATTTCACTGACTATAACAGTATAAACGATGTTACCTATCTAGTATAATAATGAATCTTAAAAATAAAATAAAAGCAATTGAACAAAAAGCTTTATTTTTTTTATTCCTTTTAGGTAATAATTACAAAGTATTATTTTCAACTATAACGACTTAAGGGTATCAACTATAAAAGAAAACCACTAATTCATCAAAAAATAATAAAAATCCAGTTGTTCATAAAAAAATGTGATATGATTTTTTGATAGTTTTTAAGATATAACCTAATCTCATTTAATATTAATTTTGGAATTTTTAGTATAAAAATAGAAATCTTTTGTCATCATAAAAAAATCATAGTAACTGTTATAAAAAAAATTATAATTTCTCCTGAACATCTTTTTAACAATTTCTACGTGATTTTTTGTTTTAATTCAACTAATATTTTTCAATAATTTTGCATTATTTCCAATATAATAAAACTAATGTAAAAAATTAATTTCAGCACTGGAGAAAAATAAAAAATAAATCATTTTCATTGATTTATTTTAAAACATTTAATTAGTTTCAAAGTTAATCTTTAAAAATAATATAGTTTGTTGTCCACTTCAAATACTATTGGTAAATATTTGTTTAAAATCATATTCGGACAAACACAAAATAATATTACTGTTATTTTCAGCAGATGGGCGAGTTATTGAAAAGCTGAGCTGATACAGATCAATAAATTCAAAATTTAAATATTCAATAATCAAGTTAAATTACAATTCACATAATATACTATAAGTCTATCAATTATAGGTCTATAGAATATAGGCATATAGCTAGTATTATAATATAAATAAAATAATATATTCGTTGTATATTCAGTGTGTTCACTGTTCAACTTTGGTGTTTAATATTTCTCTTTGTGAATTCAATTTTCCTAGGTATAATTTTAAATATTTTAGATGGTAAAATAAAAAAGACATTGAAAAATTAACAAAGTTTTCAAAGTAAATAAGTATAAATTACACACTCTCTAAATTGTCACAAACAATTAAAGCGTAATAAAATCAAACATACTACAATATTGTTATAACGGCTACAAAAATATATACATTTATAGATTTACTCGGATACTTACGAAATTTAGATTTATCTTTAAATAATTAATATTATAGTTAGCTATTACTTATTACCCACATCAAAGTATTAATTACCATACTATTGGGCAAGGTAATTGATTGGGTGAGATTTCTACCACATTAATAAGATAATATAACGATAAATATAATTGTCTGTAGTGCTAATTATTTATGTTGCGAATAATTGAAGGCTTATGACTTTTTTTCAATACGAATTTTCAAACTTTAAAAATTCAACCAATTCCAAAGCATATAATGTCCTTTTCCTTTAAAAAAAAAAAAAAACTTAAAGTACATGTATATAGTATCATACATTTGTGTGGTCATTAAGGGTAATTAAACGGCCGACAATATTAGGCAAACACCTAACTCCTGAACATTTTTACCAAACATAGGTAGTGTCTTTGCATCGAATTTAAATCGTACCTTAACCTAATAATATTTAAAGGATACTCAGTGTGGCACATGTTAAAGTCGGTATTCATCGGTATTCAAATGTTCCAAAACACCATGCCCTGAACCGAAATATCACTGTGATCAACACCACAAATCATCCACTCATGATGTTGTACAGTAGTCGGCGTGTGATCTTAAAATGTTAATTCCGAGCGCTGACGTAACTAAACAAATTGAACTTATACTCTGCTCTTATGGTAAAAAGTCTTTGACAATCAATCGACTAACCCAATGATGAATGGTAGAAATGTCATACTTGTGGTACCGCCATGAAGTACTAACGCATCGAATGCACGTAATTTAAAAATTGTAATCCAAAAAATAAGTACACGTAGCAGAAAGTTTGAGTTCAATGAGTGAAAATATTACATAGGCGTTTTTAAAAATTATCCACACACTAGATACGATATGCAATATACTATAGCCTTTACGTATTACGTAGATATATACGATTATAGGTATGCTCAGTCTAAATAAATGACAATATTATCATTGTTATAAATATTACGGTTGTCGTTATTATAACTACTTATGATAAACTCCATTACACTTCTATTACTATTATTGTTGTTATTATTATTATTATTATGGTTTTAATTTTTCCACATGATACGCATGTAGGTAATGTATAACCATATTATCCAGAATTATTTATGTTAGAACGTTGAGTTTGTTATTATTATTTATCACTAATCCAAACGATAATAATTTGTCATCAATACATATAAGTAATTATAAAAATGTAAATGTGGGTAGTGCTAATGGGAAAGTTGTCGAAGCAAAACAAAGATTAAATGAAAATAAATGTTAAAAATTATTACGAGCCTTTTCGAAATATTTCATCTATAGATATTAACAATTGAATGAGTAATTTTCTATAAAAAAAAAAATCCACTTAATTTTCAATTGTGGTTCTAGAACTCAGAAAATAATGTAGGCTTTTGTCGTTTTTGTCCCGGTGTACAATTATTATACGTGTTATTTATTTTATTCTAATAATAAACACCAAATACCATTTAACCACTTTGTTCTATACGTCTATTCGAGTACATTCAATGATAATAATTGGCAGTTAAAATATTTGTTTAACAGTCTACAATCAGAACAATGAAATGCTGAATTCATTGAAGAATTAATAGCATATTATAATGAGATGAACAAAACAGAATTACTTACATCTTGAGTTAGACAAGTTTTTTAAAGAAAAATTAAATTTCTCTCAGTCTTTGTTCGATGTTTTGTTGCAATAATTTTTAGCACTCAAATTATTTTAATTTGTATTAAGCCCTTACCAGAGAATAATAATCATAGTAAATATTAACATTCTAAAGTACTGTACATTGCATAAAAACTAAATATAATCCTGTGCTCTCAATATTAATCTGAATACCGTTGTGGTACGGGATATTATTTATTTTAGTTCACCAAAGATAATTTTATCATGACGTACGATATTAAGTAGGCTTATTTTACTATTTATGCAATATTCAATACATAAATATGTACTACAATTATTAATTTAGTACAATATTATTTAATAAATATTATTTATCGAAAAACTCTTTTTTGGCTTTTTGTCTAAAAAAATTCAAACGCATTAATCAAAACTTCATAAACATTTTTAAATTATTAAAAGCTTCAAAAATGAACATTAAAAACCATAAGCTTTAATTAATTAAAAAAAATGTATTTGATATCATACGCCTACTATCTGAAAACTAAAATGTGTTTATATTTTATAAATATTTATTGAAATGTTTTATTTTATTATTTGACCAAAAAATGTCTAAATTATTTTAGTTTTTTGTTCTATTTTTAGAAGAATTTTTTTTCAGATGTATAGGTCTTGCTCTGCTTAGAGATTGGTAGATGTATCAATTAATTGTATTTCAAAAATAAAGTACATCTCCGTAATTTTTAACATGACATCAGACTCTTGACATATATATATATATACATTTAAACAGAATTAATAAAACCTATACACTTATTTGCTTCGCGCGATTCGTTGTACATTTTTCAAGTTGAAAACATTCGTTTGTATTTAAAAGTAGAAAAAAAAAACTGTAATATTCGAAAAGGGGAAAGAGCGAGGAAAAAATAATATTGAACACCACTTACCTGTGCCCCAGAGCGCGACCAGTTTGGTACAAACGAAGATACTGTACAGAGTGAAATCTACTTTTCCGTTTATATATATAGGTACGAGCTACGCTGTTACGAACACTACGCATCCGTACGGGTGGATCAGCCCGAGAGGGTAATATTCTGTGTTTCTCCTTTCAGCGTGCGCAACAAGTCCCACCTCCCTTTGGGGGTTTGTCCAAAATTCGCAACAGTTATGTCGCATCTGCGAGGAAAAAAAAAATACCGCATAATAAATACAATACATAATATTGTGACATACCTATATATACTTATGTATGTATATATATTTATATCGTGTTTGTTTATAGATAAGCTGGTGCTTTTTAATAGTCGGGAAAAAAAATAGAACTAAGTTTTCCTCTCTGTAAACTCGTATATTATATTTTTGCGATAAAAATAATTACTTGAGTATGAAATTATGATTTTCGATGTAAACCATAACAATAATAACATCTCCCGTGTTGGAGATTTTGTAGATAAAAAAAAAATTACGATTTAAATTAACTTGATTTTGAAAACATTAGCAGTTGATTTTTTTTATACGAATCGATTTTCTTTATATAGCGATTTGTGGTTTGAACTTGCTATTAATTATTTTGTTGTTTTTATTTTCTTAAGTTATTTATTTATCAACTTAGTTGCAGTTTTTTACAGCTCTAATTTTTCACAGAACTTAAAATAATTATTTACCTATGCCTGTAATATTTTTATTTTTATTCAAAGTTTATTCAATTTATGTGTGCACATATTTTGTGTATAGAGTTTCTGTGGTTTTTGTTATTTGAACTCTAATTTAATATTTTTGTTTTAATATCCAGTAAATAAAAAGATAAGGAATTACTTTGGTTATTATTAAATCAAATGCATCGATACAAATGTACTTATTACATAATATAATTGATACACCTATATAATATACATAATACAAATAATATTAAGTTATACTATTATAATATAAATGTATCGATAAAATAATAAAACACGGTGCATATATTTCCAAGTCTTCGAGAATTTATCAATTTTCTCTCAATGAAAATAGTATGTCTCATAGAATATACTAAAATAATATCATTTCAATGGTTTTCATTCATTACACTATGGAAGCTACGATATTGACTTTTGCTATTAGACGTGAATAGGTGGAATTTATTAGCCACGGTTTAAATTTGATGATAAGTAATTGTAGTCTTATTTTAGCCTATACCCTACAAGATAGAAATACGAAGGGATTTTTTTTTAATATGTTTATTTTCTATTATATGCTCGGTGAAAAGACGATAACAGTAAATGTTCATGTAGCGTCCCATTTATAATGAACTTATATAATATACAGGACGTGTGTCTCTATATTATGGTTGGAATTTATTATTTTGTTTTAGTTTAATTTATTTTAGTACATATTTTAAGCTATTGTTGGCTTTCTATATATATATACAAGCAGTAGCGTAGACATGTTTTTTGAATGAAAAGATGGGGCGTGGCTAATAAGTGTCTGTATGTTTTTATGCATACAAAATAATTTTAAATGCTCTAAAGATACACAATTATAGATTTAATTTTCTTTAGAAATTTAAGAACTTTTTAATAATAAACTTGACACTGGGTTAAAAAAGAGAAGAGTTATGATACTATAGGTGTTGACGGTTTTTTTTTTTTTTTACCATTTTAGAAGTCGTGGGACATTAACTCGATCCTCGATCAAACCACATATAAATCCTCCTAAACCAACGGACACGGAGTCCGTGCGCCATTGTTCCTCCTGCAGTGATTCAAGCCTGACCATTTGAGTAATATGACGGAATCCGTGAGTTGGGTGAACAATTTTTAAGAAATTATTTATTGCTTGAAAAATAAAAAATTATAAAATACAAAAGTTCTTAGAAGTATATACTAAAATATATTTTCCACTTAAAACATATGTTTACACGGACACCAGGAAAAAATCATAATTATTGCTACATTTCTGCAGCTGGTAAATTACAATAATTCCACAGTTTCAGTCTCGTCACACGAGCTGTAATATTTGTAAATTGCCTACTTTAATCTTTTTTAATCGGCATGGGCAAGGACCAAATTAACCTGTGGACAAAAATAATTTACTCTTTCGATTTTTATAAAACTTCAATATACATGATATTTACTTATACACTTATAATTTATTTTAAACTGTGGCAATAGAGGACACAGAAAGTTTTCGAAAGACATTTTCACCCTCACTTTTCCTAGAAAACTATATAATGCCTTTTCCCAAATCCAAACATTTAAACATTTCACTTTCAACAGGTATTACCAACGCGTTGCTAATGCACTCTATTCAATCATCCAATGTTCGTGGTAGATCTCACATATTTTTTTTACTCTTTTCAAAGCATAAAACGAACGCATTCCTCATTTCTCATGTACGCTATACGTCAGTACCCATAGGAAATGTACACAATTAAATCCTTAAAAGATAAAACGATTTTCAAGTTAAAAAATGCCTTCCGTACATCTTTTTATAAATGTTTTAAAATAGAGATATCTGGAGGATTTTCATTGTTTTCGACTGCAAGGATATATTTAAAATTCAAACTTCATACTTTAATATCACTTTAATATCACTATAATAAAATTTTGATATAAAAATCAGGGGAATAAAACAGTTTATTTTAAATGATAATACAATTCAGATATCCACGTTCGACGATAATTTATTATTCTAAAAGAAAATAGATGTAGTTTAGATGCAAATATTTTTCGATGATTATTTTATTTTATTATTTTGTTTGCAATTTATTCCATACATTTTCCTTATTAGGTATAGGTACTTGTAGTAATCAAGTATTTAATTGAACATTATTTAAACAGTATTAAATAAATTATAGCATTAATATTTACTAATTAAATAATTACAATATTTTTCAAAAATATTTTTAATTATATTTAATAAAATATATATATTATTATATTATACTTATATAATTAAAATGTTGTCAAAAAAATGCATGAATATATAATTTATCTAAACTAGAAATAAATAATCATAGTATTTATTATATATATATAGTTTTATAAAATTTCAAATATTTAGTATTGAGAGTTCAATATTTTGTACGAATCAACGAGGATAACAATTTATCAGGATACCTTTTATTTGATAATACATTGCATGTTCTTGTCTACTGGACAGCGACCGGCGAGATGTCTACGCCACTAATTTTAATTTACTTGTATTTCGGTAGAAATAACTTTTGTTGCCATTTTAAATACAAACAATAATAGTGTTCATACTTGCACCAACAATTGCTACAGATGTCTAATACGTTGTTCGAGAATGAATTCGTTAGGGTATGGATTTCTGGAATGGTCTCTAATATTTGAATTCATCAGACTCAAACTTAGTTATTATTACTTATGAGCGCACCTACACGTCTTACACAAAATCCAGAAGATTATATACATTCGTAATCGATCGAACGACTCAGCAGTGTATCTGTCGTTAACCGCGTGGGTAGAATGTATTAATAACGGAGTTTGAAAGTTATAACTGATTCTAAACTATTTAACGAAGAACACTACGAACAAATTGTAAACATTATTTCAAAGTTTTTCCAAAACATATGTTTTAGTGCGGTACCTATACCTGTAATGGTTAATAATACCTATATACGTAGTATATGTGTTATAGTTAACGTTTTTATTTTGTCGAACGTTTCAAAAATGTTTCAATACAAAAATTACGAAACCCCGAATACAAAGGTGCGCTTGAATGCGAGAAAAAAAAATTGGATTAAATACATAGACTGAATTGTTCGCACGTGTTATAAACGTGCAACATGGCGAATTTGCATTCAGCAGAACCAATTTCCAATTTTGTGTAGTTATATAGCTTTATAAAAGTGAATTAACAAACGATCGCATTTAAATGTAAGAATATCATCTGTGTTTTTAACAATATTCCGATTCTTAAACGAAAAATGAGACAAGCAATTAAAAACGAGTAAAAAATTTAAGTTTTAAAATAATCATAACTAGCTTAAAAATTAAAATATCATAAAAGAGGAACGGTTATGTGTCTCTACTAATCTAAACATACTTTATGATTTATGATTAAAAATAAGAATTCGAATTCAATACTTATAAGTGAATCATTTTTTTAGTCGTATATTATGTATCAGAAGCTATTTCTTAGTAGCTAATTACTTAGCTACTAAGTTATTTATTAATAAGCTAAATTACTCGTTAGTCATCATAGTCTTGCTATTTGCACAGAACAAACGAAATGCTTCAAGTTGTTTGAATATATGTAGCTAATATTAGGATAAATCACATAATGTTTACACGATCAACCGATTATTTTAGTTGACCAATCCTCTAAAAATGTAATTAATCGTAGTGTCCTTTTAAAGTTTTCATCAAATCTTAATAACGGCCAATAGGTAAGGCCTTGCAGCTTTCTAGAACTCATATTTCTGTTCCAGCCATCAGTTCCCGTTCAGTTCCCGTAATATTTCCTCGTTCTCCATTCCTTTAATCAGTAGTTACTGTATTTCCGGTCACCTATACCGCATGAACGATGAAATTATACATTGATGAGTCAAACTACGTATCTTATATGCAGTTACCTAATTAATTTCCTTGTATACAGATGTTAAATGTACATGGAATATTATTGACGTATTCGAAGATTGTAAGGATAAGTCAAATCATGTACCTACCTAGATAAGACACGTACCGGCATTAAATTCGAACGAGTGCAAACTCATATGCTCAGACAAAGCCGCTAGTTTGTTTTTTTTTTTAGAGTAATTTTTTTTCAGCAACGCCAGTTGTCTCCCAAACCTCTTAGTTTGACTTTACCATTTCATATAACATAATGTTTGGGCAAAATATCCTTGGTTGCGTTCAAACAATAATAAGTGGTTAGTGAACTCTTGTCAAAAACTTCCACTACCTACTCGCATAACATATCGCATATATCGACAACTATCAAGTTAACGGCGGTTAAAGTATTTGTGCTCTTGTAACATCACGAGTTCAAACTAAAAAGTCGGAAACAATAATTATTCATCGAACCAAGTCAAGCTAAACTAAGAACAAGTTATAAGTGATATTATTATAT